TCAATATTGTTATCATTATTTTACACGTTGTGCAATAACTAATTTACAGGTTTATGCAACAATTCACTGCAACAATTCCTCTAATATTATTCAGCTTTTAGGTGGTTGGTTGATATTATAGTTAATAAAAGAATATTATTTAATATTATGTCTTATATGTAACACATTATACATAACTATGATCTCACCGCATCTTTGATTTAGTGAAATAAATATTAAGATGAACATGTTCTTCGTTCAGCTCTTACTGCTGTAACTTGTTCATTACTGCTATAACTTGTTCATTACTGCTGTAACTTGTTCATTACTGCTGTAACTTGTTCATTACTGCTATAACTTGTTCATTACTGCTGTAACTTGTTCATTACTGCTGTAACTTGTTCATTACTGCTGTAATTTGTTCATTACTACTGTAACATGTTCATTACTGCTGTAACTTGTTCATTACTGCTGTAACTTGTTCATTACTGCTGTAACTTGTTCATTACTGCTATAACTTGTTCATTACTGCTGTAACTTGTTCATTACATCTGTAAATTGTTCATTACTGCTATAACTTGTTCATTACTGCTGTAACTTGTTCATTACTGCTGTAACTTGTTCATTGCTGCTATAACTTGTTCATTACTGCTGTAACTTGTTCATTACTGCTGTAACTTGTTCATTACTGCTATAACTTGTTCATTACTGCTATAACTTGTTCATTACTGCTGTAACTTGTTCATTACTGCTGTAACTTGTTCATTACTTCTGTAACTTGTTCATTACTGTCGTTACTTGTTCATTACTGCTGTAACTTTTTCATTACTGCTGTAACTTGTTCATTACTGCTGTAACTTGTTCATTACTGCTGTAACTTGTTCATTACGACTGTAACTTGTTCATTACGACTGTAACTTGTTCATTACCGCTGTAACTTGTTCATTACTGCTGTAACTTGTTCATTACCGCTGTAACTTGTTCGTTACTGCTGTAACTTGTTCATTACTGCTGTAACTTGTTCATTACCGCTGTAACTTGTTCATTACCACTGTAACTTGTTCATTACGACTGTAACTTGTTCGTTACTGCTGTAACTTGTTCATTACTGCTGTAACGTGTTCATTACTGCTGTAACTTGTTCATTACTGCTGTAACTTGTTCATTACTGCTGTAACTTGTTCATTACTGCTGTAACTTGTTCATTACTGTTGTAACTTGTTCATTACTGCTGTAACTTGTTCATTACTGCTGTAACTTGTTCATTACTGCTGTAACTTGTTCATTACTGCTGTAACTTGTTCATTACCACTGCAACTTGTTCATTACTGCTGTAACTTGTTCATTACTGCTGTAACTTGTTCATTACTGCTGTAACTTGTTCATTACGACTGTAACTTGTTCATTACCGCTGTAACTTGTTCATTACTGCTGTAATTTGTTCATTACTGCTGTAACTTGTTCGTTACTGCTGTAACTTGTTCATTACTGCTGTAACTTGTTCATTACCGCTGTAACTTGTTCATTACCACTGTAACTTGTTCATTACCACTGTAACTTGTTCATTACTGCTGTAACTTGTTCATTACTGCTGTAACTTGTTCATTACTGCTGTATCTTGTTCATTACTGCTGTAACTTGTTCATTACTGCTGTAACTTGTTCGTTACTGCTGTAACTTGTTCATTACTGCTGTAACTTGTTCATTACCGCTGTAACTTGTTCGTTACTGCTGTAACTTGTTCTTTACTGCTGTAACTTGTTCATTACTGCTGTAACTTGTTCATTACTGCTGTAACTTTTTCATTACTGCTGTAACTTGTTCATTACTGCTGTAACTTGTTCATTACCGCTGTAACTTGTTCATTACTGCTGTAACTTGTTCATTACCGCTGTAACTTGTTCATTACTGCTGTAACTTGTTCATTACTTCTGTAACTTGTTCATTACAGCTGTAACTTGTTCATTACTGCTGTAACTTGTTCATTACGACTGTAACTTGTTCATTACTGCTGTAACTTGTTCATTATCACTGTAACTTGTTCATTACTGCTGTAACTTGTTCATTACCACTGTAACTTGTTCATTATCACTGTAACTTGTTCATTATCACTGTAACTTGTTCATTACCACTGTAACTTGTTCATTATCACTGTAACTTGTTCATTACTGCTGTAACTTGTTCATTACCACTGTAACTTGTTCATTACCACTGTAACTTGTTCATTACTACTGTAACTTGTTCATTACCACTGTAACTTGTTCATTACTGCTGTAACTTGTTCATTATTGCTGTAACTTGTTCATTACTGCTGTAACTTGTTCATTACTACTGTAACTTGTTCATTACTGCTGTAACTTGTTCATTATTGCTGTAACTTGTTCATTACGACTGTAACTTGTTCATTACTGCTGTAACTTGTTCATTATTGCTGTAACTTGTTCATTACGACGGTAACTTGTTCATTACTGCTGTAACTTGTTCATTACTGCTGTAACTTGTTCATTACTGCTGTAACTTGTTCATTACTGCTGTAACTTGTTCATTACTGCTGTAACTCGTTCATTACTGCTGTAACTTGTTCATTACTGCTGTAACTTGTTCATTACCGCTGTAACTTGTTCATTACCACTGTAACTTGTTCATTACCACTGTAACTTGTTCAGCTATCAAAACTTTGCTGCCCAGTCCCTGGACCCATTATGTACCTCTGTAATCCTTTGACCACCACCCACACCATGGGTATGGTGTGACCACCACCCACACCATGGGTATAGTGTGACCACCACCCACACCACTGGTATAGTGTGACCACCACCCACACCATGGGTATGGTGTGACCACCACCCACACCATGGGTATAGTGTGACCACCACCCACACAATGGGTATAGTGTGACCACCACCCACACCATGGGTATAGTGTGACCACCACCCACACCATGGGTATGGTGTGACCACCACCCACACCATGGGTATGGTGTGACCACCACCCACACCATGGGTATGGTGTGACCACCACCCACACCGTGGGTATGGTGTGAGCACCACCCACACCATGGGTATAGTGTGACCGTCACCCGCACCATGGGTATAGTGTGACCACCACCCACACCATGGGTATGGTGTGACCACCACCCACACCATGGGTATGGTGTGACCACCACCCACACCATGGGTATGGTGTGACCACCACCCACACCATGGGTATGGTGTGACCACCACCCACACCGTGGGTATGGTGTGAACACCACCCACACCATGGGTATAGTGACCACCACCCACACCATGGGTATAGTGTGAACACTACCCACACCATGGGTATGGTGTGACCACCCACACCATGGGTATAGTGTGACCGTCACCCGCACCATGGGTATAGTGTGACCACCACCCACACCATGGGTATAGTGTGACCACCACCCACATCATGGGTATAGTGTGACCACCACCCACACCATGGGTATAGTGTGACCACCACCCACACCATGGGTATAGTGTGACCACCACCCACACCATGGGTATAGTGTGACCGCCACCCGCACCATGGGTATAGTGTGACCTCCCACACCATGGGTATAGTGTGACCACCACCCACACCATGGGTATAGTGTGACCACCACCCACACCATGGGTATAGTGTGACCACCACCCACACCATGGGTATATTGTGACCACCATCCACACCATGGGTATAGTGTGACCACCACGCACACCATGGGTGTGGTGTGACCACCACCCACACCATGGGTATGGTGTGACCACCACCCACACCATGGGTATGGTGTGACCACCACCCACACCATGGGTATAGTGTGACCACCACCCACACCATGGGTATAGTGTGACCGCCACCCGCACCATGGGTATAGTGTGACCTCCCACACCATGGGTATAGTGTGACCACCACCCACACCATGGGTATAGTGTGACCACCACCCACACCATGGGTATAGTGTGACCACCACCCACACCATGGGTATGGTGTGACCACCACCCACACCATGGGTATGGTGTGACCACCACCCACACCATGGGTATGGTGTGACCACCACCCACACCATGGGTATGGTGTGACCACCCACCCCCACCATGGTATGGTGTGACCACCACCCACACCATGGGTATGGTGTGACCACCACCCACACCATGGGTATAGTGTGACCACCACCCACACCATGGGTATGGTGTGACCACCACCCACACCATGGGTATGGTGTCCATAATTATGATGTTAAGCTATAACTGTTCAACTCTCACTAAAGTAACAATTAATGTTAATCTTCTTCACTTATGAAGTGTTAACATTTCAATACAAAATATGCAGTCATATATTTCTTTAATATTTCCAGAAATTAACAATAATGTCAACATTAGTAGAATTTGATCAAGTAATCGTGACTATTGTTGAAAAAATCTGGAAGACTGACTGAAATTGTAAGCGAGTTTGAATCAGGTAATTATTATAGACCTGACCAGAGACTTCTCTTAATTACTGAGAGTCGTGAGCCTCACCCCTCTCTCCAGTCATCTGTCATACCCACTCTTCAAGCTCTGTATCAAACACATCTACACTTACCAACAACTCCTAAGATGAAACGTTATTATTATTATTATTATTATTATTATTATTATTATTATTATTATTATTATTATTATTATTATTATTATTATTTTAATCATCATTTTACATTTCTTTCTCAATCCATTTACAATTTCATCCCTAAATTCTTCCAGCTGTCCTCTCCCTTCTTCCATTATCTCTCTCTCTCTCTCCTTTCGTTGTGTTTCCTTGTCTGTCTGCTGCTTTTCACCTTTTCCATCTCCTCGTGTCCCTCCTCTTCCTTCTTGTCATCCTCGTCCTCATCCTCAGCATCATGTAGTTTCCGGCCCCACAGACTGGCTTACCCCAACCCATCATGAGTCATAATATGTAGCACACAGTGTTTGTTTCACAACTGACCACATTTCTTCTTACTTTTCAGACTCCTTTCTTCAATATTTCTCTTAGGAGTGAAATGTAAATGACGAAATGACGAGATAAAGAGATGCTAAGAGACTCAAACGTAAGGAGATACTGAGAGACGCAAGACACAGGGAGATGCTGAGAGATACAAGAAGCTGGGAGATGGTGATCTTGCATCTTGTCAGAATGGAATTAAGAGACGGTCTTACCTCGTCATGGTAGTCCCTCCTACACCCATGATGAGGCTGCTTAGGGATGCTAATTGTTTTTCATCTCGTGAGATCAGGTCTCAAAGTTCCCGTAAGTACCAGGGAACAGTGCTTCACAGTGCCAAGAAACAGTGCCTCACAGTGCCAGGGATTAGTACGTCTCAATCGTGTGTAAGAAGTTTATTATATACAAGTGACACATCACTGCATAATACAGTTACAAGTAACATGTAAGTGAAGAACGATGGTGCCAGCTACTGTGAGTGCCACTAAAACATTCAACCACCACAAACCATACATACACCATCGAAAGTGTCACATGATAGTGAAAGTGATTAATATAGTGTTCATACTAGAGTACACAAGTGCCAGAAAATATCATACGTAAGTCAACACTACAGGTGCCCATACAAGTGCCAACACTGACCTTACTTAAGAATTATGAATGTGCCAGGTGACCACACACATACTAGTCCGAGTAGGCCTACTACAGGCTTATCAAAACGCCGGTGACAGTGCCAGGGCCATGAGGACCAGATGTATAAAGAACCATCATCAACTACCTCCAGGATGAAGGCAAGATGGCGCCAAGCTGTCAGAAAGCTTCACCTCACAGAGTGGGGTGAGTCACAAACCTTATATATATATATATATATGTGTGTGTGTGTGTGTGTGTGTGTGTGTGTGTGTGTGTGTGTGTGTGTGTGTGTGTGTGTGTGTGTGTGTGTGTGTGTGCATTTACATATATGTATGAATAGTACATAGTGTGACTAGCCACGATTTGACGACCTTTGACCACTGCGCCACCATGCTGCAAAACGTTAGGTGTCCAGTGAAAACACTAGACATGTGTTCCCTAACGCAGGGCACATTCGGGGAGTGGTGAACTCAGAGGCTAATTTCGTTCTTCACCCGTTTGGATATCAGTCTCACGAATAGCACACAAATCAATGGTTTAAAGTAAAGAACATACCGCGAATGGCTGGGATTTGAACCCGCGTCTTGTGTCCAGTCTTTCGGGAAGCTAGATAAACTCTCTCGTGAGACTGTTATCCAAATGGGAGGAGAATGAAATTAGGCCCTAAGCTTACCACTCCCCCGATTGTGCCCGGCGCCAGGGCAGACATGTCTAGTGTTCCCTCTAGATACCTAACGTCTAGTGGCACGGTGGCGCAGTAGCTAGCTTCCCCGGAGATTGTCTAGACGACTCGGGTTAAAATCCTGGCAGTCGCAGTATGTTCTTTGCTTTAAACCATTTGTTTCCGTGAATGCACTGATATGTGTGTATGCGTATATACATTATATAATGCTTGAGAACGAGTGCTGTTCGCTTTGTTATTAAGCTTTGTGCCCGAAGTTCTGCGAGGATATGAAGCACATTGCTCTTAAATTATTCAGTACCTCGACAGAAAAATCTATAAGTTAATGTACTACGAGCGCCCATGAAAAGTGTGAGTGTGTGTGTGACTGCTAGTAGTGAACTGAGGCTTATCGTGTCCGCAGAGTTATTGAGAACTATGGCTGTTTATACCTGCCCTTTGTACCTTGTATCTTGCCCCTTGTACACTTGCTTATCATGGGGTGTATGTGTCACGGTTAAAAAAATGTGGTTATTAAATAATAAAAACCTCGTTATGTTAAATTTGAATTTTAAAATAATAAAAACCTTTGAAAAAAAAAATGTTCACTATTTTATTATTTTTTAAAAAGATAATATAGAGTGCTGTTGCCTAGCACGCTGCGCGGTAAACAAAAGGACCAAAAATGTAAGGGTTGTTTGAAGTTGCTGTGGGGCATTTTTTATACAATCCTACTTATTATTAAGGGTGTGTTTTTTCCCCTACAAGTTCTTTAATTTAATGACGTCGGGGCTGAGAAAAATTTTACCAATAATTCTCTTAATCTTTAGCGGGGCAAAAACCAGGGCTGGGGGCCTTTATGTTTACCCCCCAAATCAGTCTCCCTTCACCTTCTTTTGTCTAGAAACTCCAGGGGTCGTGGGGGCCCCTATGTTTACCCCCTCATGTCATCCCCCCTTCCCCTTTTATTCTTGTACTACAACTACAGGGTCGTGGAGAAACCTATTTTTTTACCCCCCTCAGGGTCTCTCTCCTTCACCTTCATTCTTGTACAGCAAATACCAGGGGTCGGGGAGAAACCTATTTTACCCCCTCAGGGTCATTTCCTCTTCAACTTTGTCCTTGTACAAACAACTGTAAATATGAAAAGTTGCCCAAAAAAATTATCCCTAGAAAGTCAGATCTTTAAATTCCCTTAAATGATCAATTCCATAAAATGGAAAATTTTTCAGAAAATTTTCTCCCCTTTTTATATATATTTTGTAAATTAAAACTATACTTTTTCTAAAAAAAAATTAGCCCCATAACTTTTTTTTGAAACCTGGCCTCTCTCGTTTAAATTAACGAAATAAATTTCCCCTTAACCTACAGCCCGTCTTAATCACCTTAACTCAGTGATACCTACCAAAATGAAACATATATTATTTCGTGATGGTCAGATTATCCAGAGTTATTCGTAAAAATTTCCATTTGGGGTTATTTTGGGAAAAGTATTTTTGTACAAACCAAAGCGCAAGTTTTAAATAAAAGCTTGACCCAAACCCAGGTTTGCCATGTGCTTAGTCGGGAACACCCCCGGGGGTTTTGCCCCAATGTTCTTAGTCGGCAACCCCCGGTGTTGCACATGTGGGCTTTTCGCAACCCCAGGGTTGCACATGTGTCTTATCGCAACACCCAGGGTTGCACATTTCTTAGTCGCAAAAACCGGTTTGCACATGTGTCTTTTGGGAACACCCAGGGGTTGCAAGTGTCTTATCGGGAAACACCCAGGGGTTCACATGGTCTTGCGACAACACCGGTGTTGCACATTGTCTTAGTCGCAACCCCAGGTGTTGCACGTGTCTTTGTCACAACCCCAGGTTTATATAACTTCATCTAATATAAACTTTTTTTCTGTTATACAACACAACAACACGTAAAAAATAATTGATGGTTATGAAAAAACTTAATGGGGGAATTTTAAATTATTGGGAGTGGGGAAAATTACAAGAAAATTATTCGCTCTGTCTACGAAATTCCCCGACATCAAGGACGTACTCGGTGAGGGGAAATTCCCAGAATCAACCACAGTGACTCTGGTGAGAAATTCCCCGACATCAACACAGTGGGCCCGGTGAGGAAATTCCAGCATAACCCCAGTGACCGGGTTTAGGACTTCCAAAATAAGCACAGTGCTCGGGAGAAATTCCCAGACATCAACAAGGACCTGGGGGGGAAATTTCAGACATCAACCACATGAATGGGGAAACTTCCCAACATCAAGCACAGGACCTGGGGAGGAACTTCCCAACATAACCCATGACTTGGTGAGGGAAATCCCAGACATCAAGCCAGTGACCTGGTGGGAACTTCCCAGACATAACCCCAAATGTCTGGGGAGGAACTTCCAAAATCAAGCAAGTGACCGTAGGAATTCCCAACTCAAGCACATGATCGGGGAGGAACTTCCCGACATCAAACAAAGTGACTCTGGGAGGAACTTCCAGACATCAAGCAAGTGACCTGGTGAGAACTTCCAGACATCAAGCACAGGACTTGGAGGGAATTCCCGACATCAAGCACATGACTCTGGGAGGAAATTCCAGACATTTAAGCACAGTGACTCTGGGGAGGGAATTCCCCGAATCAACACGGACTCGGGGAGGGAAATTCCCAAAAAGCACAGGACTCTGGTGAGGAATTTCCCCGACATAAACACAGTGCTCGGGGGGGGGAACTTCCCAACATCAGCACAGTTGACTCTGTGAGGAACTTCCCCAAAATCAAGCCGTGATCGGGGGAAATTCCCCCGACATAGCCAGTGACTCTGGGGAGGGAAATTTCCCCGACATCAAGCACAGTGACTCTGGTGAGGAACTTTCCCGACATCAAGCACATACTCTGGGGGGAACTTTTCAGACATTTAACCATGACTCTGTGGGAAAATTCCCAACACAAGCACAGGACTCTGGTAGGAAATTCCCCCGACTCAAGCACATGACTCGGGGGGAACTTCCAACATCAAGCACGTGATCTGGGGAGGAACTCCAACTCAAGCACAGTGACTCTGGTGAGGAATTCCCAACATCAAGCACAGTGACTCTGTAGGAACTTCCAGAATCACACATGACTTGGGAGGGAATTCCCAAAATTTAAACACAGGACTCGGGGGAGGAAAAATTCCAAAAAATCAACCGGACTCGGTGGGAAATTTCCCCAAAATCAAACACAGGACCGGGGAGGAAATTCCGACTCAAACCCAGTGACTCTGGGGGGAACAAAAAAACATCAAAAAAGTCTTGGGGGAACTTCCCAGATTTTAAGAATACTTGGTGAGGCCCCCAGAATAACCAAAAATTGGTAGGAATTCCCAGACATCAACCCCAGTGTCTGGTGAGGAACTTCCCAACTAACCCCAAACTTGGTGGAATTAAAAAGAAATATTTTAATCAAACAAACTTACTTAAACTCCCCAAAAAAAAAAGGGATTTGGAAATTTCCCAGACATCAAAAGTGAAGGGGGGAATCCCCAAACTAAACACGTGCTCTGGGAGAAACTTCCGACATCAAGAATACCTTTGGGAACTCCCCAAAACAGCCATTAATTGTAAATTCCCAACATAACACATTCTTTAAATTCCCAAAAAGACAGGGTTGTGAGCTTCTCAGAAAAAGCCCGGAAAGGTAGGAACCCAGAATAACACAGTACCTCTGGTGAGGAACTTTCCAACATCAAGCAAATTATCTTGAGGAACCCCAGAATAAGACAGTCTCTGGGGAAACTTCCCCGACATCAACCAAATATCGGTGAGGGCTTTCTAGGCAAAGCACGTCTATGGGGGGGAATTCCAAACAAAGCCATGACTTTAAAACCCCCCAACATCAACCTACTTGTAGGAATTCTCGCTGCCATCTTGGGGAGGGCTTCCCCCAAAATCAACCAGTGACCTGGTAGGAATTCCCGCTCAAAAGGTTTTCCCGGTGAGGAAATTCCCAACATCAAGCACGTACTTTGAAACTTCCCAGACATAAGCCAAATTGTGGGGAACTTTCCCAAATAAACCAACCCTGGGAGGAAAATTTTTAAACACAAAAAGTACCTCTGGTAAACTTTCCCCCTGCACAGGGTTTTTTTGGAATTCCAACTTCAAGACGTGACTTTGAGGGATTTTAGACAAATAAGCACAGGATTTAGGAAATTTCCCCAACCCAAGACAGTGACTCGGGGAATTCCCAGACATCAGCCAAAAACTCTTAGGAACTTCCCAGACATTTTAAAAATACTCTGGTGAGGAAATTCCAGCATCAACCAGAACCCTTGGTGGGAAACTTCCGCATCCCCCCCTGGTGGGGAGAAACAAAACCCGTCAAAGTTTTTGTTTTTAAGTTCAATCAGATTTTCCAACAAAATTTTTTTGGGAGTTCCCCCCAGAAAAACAAAAAAAAAAAAGGAAAACCCCCCGAACCAACCCAATTTAACACAATGCTGTTTTAGTTTCAGACAAAAAAAGAAAGGGCTGGGAGAAAAATTTAAATTTCCAACTTACTTAAAACCCAAAAAAGT